AACCCAGTTCTCTTTTCTCTGGTTCTGCCGGTTTTGGGAAGGTACAACCGGTTTTTATGTTTTTTTTATGTTTTCTGTACTGGTTTTATCCTTTTTCTGTTCTTTTAAAAAAATCGTTTTTCTTTTTCGTTTTTCTTTCCCTTTTTTTTCCTATTTTCTTCTTCACTACTTTTTGACTATTTTTGGTATTTTTTATTTTGAATTCGTTAACATCTTTTTTTGTTCATTGAATTCAAAAAATGTTCAACCATGAAAAAAATGTTCATCCAATTCCATTTTTTGTTCATCAGATTTAAAAAATATTCATAAAAATTCAACAGTTGTTCATCAAACTAAAAAAATGTTCATCGGTTTCTTTTTTCTCATTCATTTTTTTTGTTCATCAGATTCAAAAAATGTTCATCACATTAAAAAATTGTTGACTGAACTAAAAATTTGTTCATGATTTTTAAAAAATAATGTTCATCGAATGCAAATTATGTACATAATTTTTTCCAAAACATTTCTGTAACACAAATTTTGTTCTTCAAATTAAATAAAAATTCATCAAATGACGAATTTTTTCATCGATGTTCAAAATATGTTCATCAAATTTAAAAGGAAATTTCATTCCTTTGGAATCATGAAGATTTATGACATATACATGAACATTTTTTTCGAATTCACGAACATTTTTTTGAACCATGAACATTATCTTGAATTCAAGACAATTTTTGTAATCATGAACATTTTTTGCAAATTCCTGAACATTTAACAAATTCATTAACTTTTTTGAAATCATGAACGTTTTTAAAAATTCGTGAACATTTTTTGCAAATTCATGAACATTTCGCGAATGCTTGAACTTTTTTTGAAATCATGAACATTCGTTTAAATTCGTGTTTTTTTACAAATTCATGAACATTTTTTAGTTTCCGAGCATAATTTTGAAATAATGATTTTTTTTTTCAAAATCATGATTGTTTTTTTTCAAAATTGGCAACTTTTACTGAAATTTAGAAGCTGTGGCATATCCTGAATTATTGAATAAAAAGAAAAAAAAACGGAAAACGAAAAAAAAGGCGGCTTGCAGGCTGCACATGGGCCGTCCCAGAAGGGCGCGAAGG